CAGGAATGCTGGATGTGAGGGAGTGCCTTGCACAGGGACTTTGGGAGAGGGAGGCTGCAAGAGAGGGCATGTCAGGGATGGTATTAGACACCTAGACACACATCTAGGAGATAGACAGAAGGGCCTCACTGCTTCCCAGAACATGGGCAAAGCTCAGGAACTTGTCCAAAGCCAGGCTGGATGAAGCCTTGAGCAACCTGCTCTGGTGGGAGGTGTCCCTGTCCAGGGCAGGGGTTGGGACTGGATGATTTCTAAGTTTCATTCCAACCCCTAAAATTCTATGATTCTATGAATTAGGACTAGAGGGAATGGTCTTGAGCTGAGACAGGGTAGAGTCAGATTAGATGTTAGCAATTGGCTTCCATGGACCATGGGCCATGGACTTAAATCAAATCATAGTCATGGAATGGTTTGGTTTGGAAGATACTTCGAAAACCATCTTGTTCCACCTCCTGCCATGGGCAGGAGCACCTTCCACTACACCAGGTTGCTCCAAGCCTGGTCTAATGGAAGCTGTCCAGGGTGTTCAGGCACTGGAATAGGGAATTATCCAGGGAGGTGGTAGAGTCACCACTCCTGGAGGTGTATAAGAGGTGTCTGGATGTGGCACTGGAGGATCTGGCTTAGGGTTTAGGGGTTCCAGCAGTGACAGGTTACGGTTGGACTCGATGATCTTAGAGGTCTCCTCCAACCCTGATGATTCTATGACTCTAATTGCAGGAGCCAGACCTGGAGTGGTGGCAGGGGCTGCAGCACAGAAGAGGGTGAGGCTTCATGGGCTGTGTTGGCTGTCCCTGGGGTTTGCAGAGCAAGCTCAGGTGTTCCCTGTGTGGTTGGCACCTGTCAGCACACAGCTCTGGAGAGCAGGGCAGGGATCAGGGTGGGCTGATAGCGGATCTCGCCAGCATGGAGCTCCTCCACATGCACATGCCTGCCCAAGCAGCTGGGCTGAGCCCTCCCCAGCCCCTGAGGAAGGAGTGAGGAGGAGGACGAACCGAAGAGCGAGCGGAGCCCCGGGGCGGGCAGGGCCCCGCGGTACGTACTGTGGCCACTGGTATAGTGCTGCAGCTTGTCGGTGTACTCCGAGTCTGCACGCTCAAAGCCCCTTCTTCTGGAAGGAAAGGGAGACCTGAGCACAGCATGGGCCCCTCAGGGCCAAGGGAAGCACTGCAGGGGCATCTCTAGCCCCTCATCTTCCCCATCCTCCCCATCCCTGCCACCCTGTCCCGTCTCCCCGAGCCCAGCGCAGCCCCAGCCCTGGGTGGAGTGCTCAGACTGACCTACCTGTTGCACACAATAATGATGACAACCACAGCGATGAGGAACACCAGTCCTGCTGCTGAGGAGCCAATGATGAGTGGCAGCTTCTCCTGGACACTGGTCTGGTACTCAGCTGGCACACAAGGGAGAGGGAATGGGTTACTGTAGCTACACTCACACAGTCAGCAAGGGCAGAGCGATGAGGCTCAGAAAAGGGCTACCCTTTGTGAATGTAAAAGTGCAACATTCAGACTTACCAGCTAAAGGGCTAGGACAGTCCATCAGGTTTTGGTCTGCTACTCTTAAGTAGCTGTTCTGTAACACGGGATGTGGTAAGGAGCACCTACTGCTGAACAACAAGCTGAGCCAGGGCAGAGTCAGATTGGATGTGAGGAGAAATGTTTTCCCTGGGAGGGGGTTGAGGCACTGGGATATTGCCCACGGAGATGGTGGAGTCACCATCCTTGGAGGTGTTGAGCCCAGAGTGCTCTTATTGGGCAGGAGCACCTTCCACTGATTCAGGCTGTTTGAGGGGAAGCTTGAGATCTTGAAGATCCCCATGAAGTGCACTGGAATATTGCCCAGGGAGGTGGTGGAGGCACCATCCTTGGAGGTGTTGAGCCCAGAGTGCTCTTATGGGAATCTACAATCTTACTGAGATTCCCTCTGTTTGAGGGGAAGCTTGAGATCTTGAAGATCCCCATGAAGTGCACTGGAATATTGCCCAGGGAGGTGGTGGAGTCACCATCCCTGGAGGTGTTTCAGAGGTGTCTGGATCTGGTGCTGGATGATCTGGTTTAGGGGTTCCAACAGTGACAGGTTAATGGTTGGACTTGATGCTCTTAGAGGTTTCCTCCAACCTTGATGATTCCCTGATTTTCTGTCCCTGAGCAGCTCCACATTAGCTTGGCTGTTGCTCCCTGGCATGGCTTTGGTGCAGGACAGAGCTGTCCCAGGCATGGCTCAGGCTGAGGGATGTGTCCCAGAAGGAAGGTTGGCTGCAGCTATCCCATTTGGGAGGAAAGTTTCTTCCCGTGGCTGCATGCTGTGCCTTGTCCTTTGCCTCGGGGCCAGAAAACTGGCTTGGCCTGTTTTATGTAGCAGCACAAATTTAGAAAATGAAGGCCCAGCTGTGCATTTGTCATCCCCAGCTGTGCACGTATAGCCATCAGTTCTGCCTGCTCTAACTCCACCTGAGTGGGCACATCCCCAGGGTAGAAAAGCTGGGCAGAAACTGGCTTAAATTCTGTAACTCCCTGCACAGACCAAGCACCTATGGCTCTCTCCAGGGCTTCGATGTCATTTGGCAACACACCCTGGAAGGGACTTGCTGTTGTAAGGTGACCAGCTTTGATCCCAGTGCATCTCCAGTTTAGAGCCACAGTGTGTTAAGGGGTTGGAATGGAGCTTAAACATCATCCAGCCCCAACCCCCTGCCCTGGGCAGGGACACCTCCCACCAGAGCAGGTTGCTCAAGGCTTTAGCCATGCCAGGGCTGGGGCAGCCACAGCCTCCCTGGGCAACCTGGGACAGTGTCTCACCACCCTCACAGGGAAAACTTCCTGAGATCTAATCTAAATTTCCCTCTTTCAATTTCTCCCCATTCCTCCTTATCATAGAATCATCAAGGTTGGAGGACACCTCTGAGACCACTGAGTCCAACCATTACCCTGTCACTGCTGTAGACTCTGCTGCTGGAAGGTGTTCCTGCCCATTGCAGGGGGTTGGAATGAGGTCCAAAACCTCTCCACACAGTCATCCCTGCAGTTCCTAACACAGATCCCTCTGCTCCTTCCCTGGAGCCCCTTCAGCTCCTGGCAGGTTGCTCTGAGGTCTCCACACAACCTTCTCTTCTCCAGGCTGAACAGCCCCAACTCTCTCAGCCTGTCCTCATAGAGGAGATGCTCCAGTCCTCTGAGCAACTTGATGGCCTCCTCTGGACTTCTTCTCCACCTCTCTCTATCCCCTGTGTCACCCTTCAGCAGGGGCAGGTGCAGACTCACCTTCAGTCATGGTCTGGAAGTACATCTTGCCGCTGTAGCGGCCGTACCCGGCCACCGTCCGCGCGCGCACCTGGAACACGTAGATGGTGCCTGCCTTCAGGTTCTGCACTGCCACGGTGTTCGTGGGACTCTTCACTGTGGTGGAGTTTAACTCACTCAGATCCTGCCAAGAAAATACAAATTGTCATCAGAAAAATCAGTCCGGAGTCAGGCACTGCAGTCCTGGAAGGAGCAAGGGCAGGAGACCAGGGAGGTGTGTGTGAAGAGATCACCATGGGCCTGGACAAACAGGTCCTTCCTCCTGGCAGGGAGACACAGAATCAGGGCTGTGAGTATGGACATCTCTGGGCTCCTCAGCACCTTTCAGGAAAGCTTCTAAAGAAGGTATGACCTAGAAAAGTCAAATGGCTTCTCCAAGCCTTGAGCTCAGTGGGGATGGGAACATCTTCCCTCTTCCGTGCCCACTTTGTCTTAGCACTGTCCTTCCTCACTCCCTCTTCCTGTGCCTGATCCAGCCTCAGCACCCTCTCCCTTTGCCCGTGCTGGAGGTAAAGCCCACCTGAACACCAGGCTTTGGACCTCAGGAGAAGCACTGCTACCACCTCCCTGCCCAGGCCCTGCTGGCCCAGGGGCCATGGCCAGGTTTTCAAAGCTGGGGAACCCAAGAGCATATTTAAAAGTGATAAAACTCCTTCCAAATTTCTGTCCCACCCCTTGTCTGCAGGACTGGAGCAGTCACAACATGATAGTCCAGATGCTATTGCCTTTGGGACCTACTGGTCTCCTTTCTTTGCCACTCTCCACGTTGCTTTCATGTTAATTCACTTGTGAGAACAGCCCTGGTGCCTTCACTCTGGGCATCTTCTGCACAGCCAGAAGCTGTGGTACCACCACCAGCAGCCACCACCATCAGAGGTCCCCAGAGAACAGCCACTCACTGTGACTCTCCATCCATCAGCCCATGCTGAATCCTGGAATTTGCAGGGTGGATTATACTCGTGACCAAGTTTGTGCAGACCAATTGCCTCCCAGATGCAAAGGAACATTCGTGGAATCAGAGGCACAGGATGGTTTGGGTTGGAGGGCCCTTAAAGCTCATCTCATTCCAATCCCTGCCATGGGTAGGGACACCTTCCACCAGACCAGTTGCTCCAGCTTGGCCTCTGCTCTGGTGTGGATGGCTGGTCACAGGGGGTGGCAGCAGTGTGTGTCTTCAAGGGGCCAAACTCAAGGGTTGGAAATGCTGCCGGAACACCACTGCAGGGTGATGCAGAGGAGTTCTGCAAACAAAGGCAAATAGGAACAGAGGGAAAGGCTTCAGACTGAAAGAGAGCTGGTGCAGATTGGATATTGGGAAGGAATTGTTCCCTGGGTGGTGCTGAAGCACTGGCACAGGTTGCCCAGAGAAGCTGTGGAATCCCTGGAAGTGTTCCAGGCCAGGCTGGGCAGAGCTCCAAGCAACCTGGACTGGTGGGAGATGTCCCTGTCCATGGCAGGGGGTGGAATGAGATGGGATTTAAGGTCCCTCCCAACCTAAACCATTCTGGGATTCTCTGAAACACCTGTGAGACCTCCACTGTAATAGAGTTTTCTCTTCTAAAATCGACAACACAACAACTTTATCCACCCGGACCTGGTGCTGAAGGTTCCTGGTTATCCCTGTGGGGTTGGGATTTAGATAATGACAACGGAAAGCTCAAGTAGAGATACACAGCTCAAGGCAAGAAGAGCACAGAGCAACCTGATGGCCTCGTTTGTCTGATCAGCCCTCAGCACTGCCTTGGACCTCTCCCAGGCAGGCCAGGAGAGAAATAGGTCAGGAGATGTTTACTGTTTTAGAGCTCAAGGGCTTGGATGAATCCTCCCAAGGCCCTTGGATGGCACTGACAACACAGTTGCTTTCAAATCATTTGTCCAACTCTTTTGGAGAGCCTTATCCCTGCTCCTGGAGGACCTTAAATTGAATGGAATGGGCAGGGAAATCAATGTGTGTCTGTGTGAGGAAGGTGAGCTCCTGCCTGTGCTCTCCTGTAATCCCAGATCACAAGGAAAAAGCATTTACACCTCTCCACACTCCCTTAGCAAACCTATTCTTTCCCCTTGGCATCACCTCTCCAGCAACCTGTACATTCACCTCAACCACTCCTCCTCCCCTTTCCCTGCTCTGGGCTCCTCCAGCAGCTCCAGGGCATCCCAGATGGTTTAAAGTCCAAATCCAAGCTGTTTTATGCAGAGGTTTGTGCTGTTTGGGTTTTTTTTTTACCTGGTTGGAATTTTCAAGTCCTAATTCAAAATAACACATTTAGCTCCTCATAGTTTTGATGCTGAGGTTTGAAACCTCATCTGCTTCCCCTTCCCACAAGTCAAATTGGAGCTGAAACCAAAGTCTGCTGAACAAAGGAAGTTTCTTGAAACACAGGGAGGCTCTGAGCCACCCAAAGGATTGCAAAAATTGCTGCTAAAAAGTCAGGTTTTGATAAAAGAAAGAAATAAAGAAAAAAGGCAAGGAAAAATGTCAACTGACTTCATTTGGCAGAAGGTCCTGAGCTCCTGCACAGCAGCAATCTGCTATGGCTCCCCGAGCAAACAGGGCCAAACCCTCCCACACAGCTCAACTCCAGCCCCCACCAGATCCAGGGATGCTCAGAGGTGGGAACAGGCTCCTGCTGCCCACTCTGGGTCCATACTGCCTTGGACTCTCATGGGGATCCATCACTTGTGGGGAGATCTCCAGAGAGTTCGTCCTCCCAGCCAAGTGTCTGATCAAGTGGGACAAGGGCAGATAGCCTCAAATTGTACCAGGAGAGTTTTACACTGGATATTAGGAAAACTTCCTCCATGGCAAGGGTGGTCAGGCCCTGGCACAGGCTGCCCAGGGCAGGGAGGGAGTCACCAGCCCTGAAAGGGTTGAAGAAATGAGTAGACATGGCACTCCTCAGTATGGCTGTGTGGGCATGGGGGTACTGGCACTTGGACTTGATCTTGGAGGTCTTTTCCAACCTTAATTCTTGATTCTAAGATTCCAGGTGCTAAGAGTGGTTGGATGCCTCTCACAAGGAAACTGAGTCCCACACTGTGGCCCACTGGACACTCCCAGCATGGAGGCTGGGCAGGGACGGGGAGTGCAGGAAAGCTAAGGCAGAGCTCGCTGGCAAGGCTTCCTCTTTAACCATCAGGGTTGGAGGAGACCTCTGAAAGCATCAAGTCCAACCATTAACCTGTCACTGCTGGAAACCCTAAACCCTAAACCAGATCCTCCAGCACCAGATCCAGACACCTCTTAAACACCTCCAGGGATGGTGCCTCCACCTGACATCCTAACAGGGAAAACATTTCTCCTACCATCTCCTCTGACTCTGCCCTGGCTCAGCTCAAGGCCATTCCCTCCAGTCCTCTCCCTGCAGCCCTGGCAGGACACACATCCCCCACCTCTCTCCAGCCCTGTCAGGGAGTTGCAGAGAGCCATGAGGTCACCCCTGAGCCTCTTCTCCAGGCTAACCAACCCAACTCCCTCAGCCCTTCTTCATGTGCTCTGGACTTTTTTCTGACCTCCCTGCCCTTCACTGGACTTCATCTTCTTGATCTCAGAGTTCTCCCTGGACAGAGCCACCTCCAAGGGTTTGGGGTGGGTGAAGAGGCATCCCAATCCTCACTCCATCCTGGGGGCAGGTGGGAAACACCAGGCAGCAGCTCTGGCCCTGAGCACAGGGATGCTGTGCCCAAAGCTGTCCCCAAAGAGTCAGAGAATCATGGAAACCCAGACTGGTCTAGGTTGGAAGGGACCTTAAAGAACATCTAATTCCAACCCTCTGTGATGAGCAGGGAAGCTCCCTGAGCCAGCCTGGGAGCAGTGCCTGGGGACACGCCATCCTGGGGATGCTGAACTCCTGTCAAAAGCTCCTGAGCACCACGAGGACTCTGCTCCCACCTCCACCTGCAGCTGTCCCAGCTTGGCCCATGCCCTTTCCTCAGCCTTGGCAGGAGACATCAAAGGGCTCCTGTGCCTCCTCAAACATTGCCCTGGTGATCAAACCAGGCTGAATATCTTCAAACAATTCCCAAATGGGCAACTTAGAGCATCATCAAGGCCAATCATTTTGCATAATGAGGAGAGCTAATTACTCTCTTCAGTGCTTCACACCACAGTGAGGCTCCAGTTCCCACACTTGGGGATGAGTTTGGCAACTCTGGGTGAAACTTGCTACACCCTTTCTAAATGAAGACAACACACATTGTTTGAGGGATACAAACGTTGGCAGGTGCCTCTCGAAGGTGAAAAAACCCTCATTCATTGTGTCATGAGTGTTGGCTCCAACTCCATGTGAGAAAAACTCCTAATGTTGCCTTTGTACAAGCACTTTTAATAGCAGCTAAGAATAGCAATGTTATAAATAATCTATGCAAGGGAAACAAAAATATACCTTTGTTTTGGGGATGGTGAACAGCTCTTTCTGGCAGGACTGAAATAACTTCTCATTTCTTTTCAATTTACAGAATCACAGACTATACAGAGGTGGAAGAGACCCACAGGGATCATCAGT